TATATTTTTTATATATTTTACTATGACTTCGACGTCATAAACCAATTACCTTTTTTATTTTTTTATTTTATTTTATTATTTTTATATATATTTTTCTATGACTTCGACCTATGTTGTAAATTTACTTTGGTTTTCTAGTCGAATATCTGATCGAATTCTACTCCCTCTGTTGGATAACTGGTCTGTTCAGGCCTCAGAAGCAGCTTCTGCTGTGTATTTCTGACTTCCTCCTGTCGCTATCGGCCAGATCTTTACCCGAAACGCCAGATTACGCGTGTTCTTCCTCCTCCACAGCAGGAAGTCCTTATAAGGACGCAGACCTCCACAGCAGGAAGTCCTTATAAGGGCGCAGAGAGCTGGTGGTAAAACGCCCCGACCTTTCACCCAGGCACCACAATTTCCCCGTCTGCACAGAAAGAAATTAAAAAAAGAGAGCTAGTGATCCTAAAGAGGCTGTTAGTAAAGTGGGGTTTCTCCATTTTCTTTCTTTTTTTTTGTTTGAGCTACTATGAAAATATTTGTGTTCCGGGAGTTCTGGGAAAAGAGTTGGATTTGCATTTGTTTGCTGTTGTTTATTCAAGTAGTCATGTGAGGTTAATGTGTTTAGTGAAACTCATCTGAGCTTCCTGTACAAGACTGAACCTTTAAATACACACACACAAACACACACACACACACACACACACACACACACACACACACACACACACACACTCCTATTTTCCCTACTTCAGAGGACACTAAGTTAGCATTACATTGGACGTTATATGATGCTCATCGTGGTGAATGGTGGCTTCTTTTGTCTCCAAACGGGGCACTAGTACTTTATTTCCATATATATATTTCTATATATATAAATGTATATACAGTAGAATCTCTACAGGGAGTCTAACTGGTTCCCGGAGCGACTTCTGTGTTAAATATTGGTGTGTTGGTTCAAATCTTCCATCAGAATACTCTGTAATTCCTAGAATTAGTTCCAAAAACCTACGATAACTCCTTAATAAATACTGCAGATAATTACAAATACCAAGAAAACAAATGACTTCTAGAAGAGAGATGGAAAAAGAAATAAATGATAAAGAGATAATGAGTAAAAAGGGTTTTTATTGTCCCTTTAGCTCAGAGACTGAAGAACGGAGGTAGAGGTGGAGACTGAGATACAGGACCAGCCCTAACTCACTCTGACTTTACACACGATACCTACACACACTTACACCAGTTATTCTGATTTAGTTTCTATATTTTGCTATGACTTCGACATCATAAACTAACTTAGCTTATTTATTTTTATCCAATTTTTATGTTTTATATATATTTTTCTGTCTTCGACTTTATAAACTAACTTAGCTTATTTATTTTATTTAATTTTAAATATTTTTCTATGACTTCAATGTCATAAACGAACTTAGCTTATTTATTTTTATCCAATTTTTGTATTTTTTATATATATTTTTCTGTCTTCAACATCATAAACTAGCTTAGCTTATTTATTTTTATCAATATTTTATATATTTTTCTATTACTTTGACATCATAAACTAGCTTAGCTTATTTATTTTTATTTAATTTTTATATTTTATTTATATTTTTCTATGACTTTGACATCATAAACTAACTTAGCTTATTTATTTTTATTTCATTTTCATATTTTATATATATTTTTCTATGACTTTGACATCAGAAACTAAGTTAGCTTGTTTATTTTTATTTAATTTTTATATTTGTAATATATTTTTTATGACTTCGTCATAAACTAACATAGCTTATTATTTTTATTTAATTTTTATATTTTATATATATTTTTCTATGACTTTGACATCATATTAACTTAGCTTATTCATTTTTATCCAATTTTTATATGTTATATATATTTGTCTGTCTTCGACTTCATAAACTAACTTAGCTTTTTTTTATTTATTTAATTTTTTGAATATTTTTCTATGACTTCTAAGGTCATAAACTAACTTTGTTTATTTTTAATGTCATTTTTATATTTAATATACAAAATCTCTATATTTACTTCAATAACCGAAAATTACTTTGTGTGTCGAGTGGAATATTTGATTAAATTTCACATTGATTGTTGGAAAATTAGTTTTTTTATAAAAAAAAAGAATAATAGATTGCTAATAAATGTATTATTCTTATTCAGGGCTTTGTGAGGCGGCCTTAGTGTGAAGTTGCTCAATAGCTTCCCAGATAAACCCGCCACTATAATCAGAATCAGAATCAGAAATATTTTAATAATCCCAGAGGGAAATTATTTAATTTAGGTCGTCTTTACTCAGGTCCTCCTCATTTCCCTCTCAGGGTTTTTAAAACAGAAGGCCAAACCAGCTAAAGCAAGTCAACCAACCAAAGAAAAACAACACAGAACTTAGATTTTTTTTGTTTTGTCTCTTTAAAAGATTCTATTAAGACAAAAATGGGACTTGTGACCATTTCCCTTTAGAGAGAAGTCACTGAAATACTCTGAAAACTTTGATTTTCAGGCCGTAGGGTTTATTGGAATCTACTAAAAGTCTGTTTTCTCTCATTTTTAAAAAAAAAGAATTCACTCAAGGCGACGAGTCCAAATAAAAGAAGCCTTTGTAAATTCTGCCTCGGCATAAAATCCAAAGAAAAATTCCCGAAATTGTGCAGAAAAAAATTCACTTCTAAAATAACTGTAGGTTATATGAAATTAAATGGAAATATAGAATGAAGTTAATCAATTGAAACCAGTCATGATGGATTTTTTGTGTCCCCATGTCAGTAGAAATTAGTCTTAATAAATCATTAACAAGCTAAATAAATCATAAATAAGCTAAATAAATCATAAATAAGCAATGTTATGGTCATAAAAGGAGAAATAAAATAGGATAAAAGGCTTTCAAGAACTGAAACGCACTAAATCCGATGCATATAACCCAAAAAATACATCGTCTCTTATTTTATTTTATTTTTTCCCCGTCTTTGTGTACATTTAGATGTTATGTAAGGTCTATATGGTATGTTGTAGAAGGTCTATTTGAAATATTTTAAATATTTTAAATTCAGCCCCTAGTATGACATCATCACCAGTAAAAGGCACCTGATTAAAACAAACTAATAAATGTGTTCTTACTCTTTTCAGATCAAATACAGAAATAGAATTCTTTGAGATATATAGAATGGAAAAACAGTCAGGTTCCAGTCTTGTTGTGTAACTATTTTAAGTTTCCATTTGACATTTGATCTCCATTTGATTGGTTTTCTGGTTCTTGTTCCCTTTAGAGGTTTGGACCCTGTGCATCTTTAGACGTTGAACTCTGAATTTCTCACGTTTTATACTCAGGCTGGTCCAGTTTTTATTCAAAATAATGGTTTGACTTAAGCTCTATTGTTGGAACAGGGTGTGGAGCTCTGCAAACACTCGCTTCCTGAGGGCTCATTTGCATATTTGGGGAGAAATTTGTTGTAGAAATGCAAATTACAAAGTGATTCTGTGTTTTTTTTTTTCCTTTTTTCCCCTTCTATCTCGCCACTTTGCCTCCAAATATTCATCCATTTAATGTTTTTTACAGATATTTGACAAAGCCAGATAGTCTTGCTGTGAAATGGACCGAGGGTTTTTGTATAGTGGACTCATAGTTTTTGTTTGTTTGTGTAAATTAACCTTGATCACACACTCAGGATGGTTCATGGAGTTAAAACAAAGCCTAGAAGGCAGCCTGTGGGCAGTGAGAACAATCTGGCATATTCATTGTTTCCGGTCAGATTATTTCTGATTATTTATTTAATTTCATTATTTATTTCTAACTTTTTTTGTTGCTTTTGTTCAGTTTTGAGCTTGTGTTAGCTAGTTTTTTCCCTTAAACTCGTCCTGACTCGTGGTCAGTCTGTATTCTGTGAAAAATTCTGCTATAATTCTAAAAACAAGTGCATGTAGAAGTGAAAATAAACAGCAGGGAGAATAATTAAACACACATAAATTCATGTAGAATATCTAAATAGGGTTAATGACCCTGGAGGAGAAACGAGGGATGGATGATAAAGTTGGAAAGCACTGAGATGAATGGGTGTTTTTTTAGGGTGTATTTTTAATGGAGTTTCTAGTTGTGTTTCTCTGTTTCTGAGGGGTTTGTTTTACTGTTGTGTTTTGTTTAGAGGGCGTATTTTTAATGGAGTTTTCTAGTTGTGTTTCTCTGTTTCTGAGGGT